CGTTTTCATGCTAAATCGATATTTTTCAATAATTTGATGTTACAAAAAATACCACAAAGCTACTCTTTTAGGAATGCTATCATATAAATTTTGAAACAACTTTAGGTGACCTTTAACCTGGCATAACTCACAATTTGTCCCCCTTAGTGTTACCATGGTCGAGCCCTGGCCCATGGACTAGTGATGGTAACGGACATTTTCATTCTTTCTGTATTTCAATAGCATAAAATCTTCCTGATAATCAAGTTGAGTCAGTTGTTCAATTAACTTTGCTTTTGTTTGTGAGTTCCTTTGCTTTTACAAACCACTCGTAAACGTCCTTTTCTCTTCACAAATTTACACGAAGAACACTTAAGTTTCAGTGCAGTTCGTATCCTGTAGGTCCTTACTGATAATAACGTGTGGGCCAACCCAAAATGACGGAGATTTGAGGTAAATCTGCCAAGAATTCCACCAAACATTTTCTTCAATCTTTGATTCTTGCAAGTTTCAAAATGGCTGCCCTCCTCGCTGGATGCAGTGAGAATGACACAGGAAGCCCAAAACAGCAATATGTTTTTTTGTCCAGAAAATCTTGCCCACATAAACTTTCACAAAAAGCATAATAACATAAACTTTCATATAAACTTTCATAAAAATCATGATAAATAAATTTCAAATATAGTTTTCCTAAAAATAAAGTTATGATTTCTCTAGTTTAGTTGCGAATCAGGAGGTCGTTCGAGACTTACATTAATTCTAGAAAAACAATTTTAAAAGATGACATGGATACAAAAGCTAACCAAAATCCTTAAATGCAGCTATTATTTCGATAGCTAATATATTTTATAATATTTTTAAAAAATCATTTGCTCGTTTGAATAAATTTTATTCGCTTCCCGCGCTCTTTGCCACCCGCGTTATCCCGTGAGAGTAGATAGTCACGTGGATTTTTACCCATAGCAACGTTGTTAGAGCATGTGTACAAGTTGTCTAATATTTCAGCATGGCGGCTGTTCAATATAAATTGTCTCGTTGCGTTAGAAATGGACCTTCTCAAAAGACTCCAGAGGAGTTGAGAAGACTCGAAAAGGGATTTGTTTTGGATAATATTGCAGTGAGTACGCTGTCGGATGATTCTGGACGCGCAAATCCGAAGATGAGCACAGCTATTCCACCTTACAACGCGCAAATAGACCCGCACACCAAAAACTACTTCGAAAAGAAACTTGTTCAGAGATTACTAACCAGAACTCAACAGGTATATATTTAATTCTTCTTTTTTCTTCAAACGAACTTTCTGTTTTATTTAATCTATTGAATGTTTTTCTGCATGAAAAACATCTTTGTTTGTTTGTTTATATTCGATTACGACTAGCTGAACATTTCTCTTTTGTCAAGACCTCACAACAAAAGCTGAGCATTTTTTTCTGGTTTAAGAACATCCTGTCTTATATCGTACTCATCAGGAAGTTTCATTTCCAGAAAATAGCTCTTTGGTCCTTAGTCAATCTCGTCTTCATAGCAGCAAACGCTTATTAACTTAATAATCTTAGTAGTTTGTTTTCAAGTAATTATATCTATATGCACCACTTAATTAGACGCTTCCTGTCTCCGTTCTGTATTTCAATTATCATTTTTTAATCACTAGTGGAAAAATCGCGAGCCTTAAGGGAAAGTTCATTTTTTTATTCCAAGAGGTTGAGGGCTGGGTAAACAAAGACTTTTTCAAGAAAAAACTTTTCCCCCCAGGGCGCTCTTATATCAAAATTAAACGTGTCCCTAAAACTGTAGGTATTCCAAATAATTAAGTTCCTTTTTACAAGAGGTTTTTTAATTTGTTTTCTTAAAAAAATCCGAATCTTTTCTCTCTCTTTTACTTGTAATTCTGAACTCCTTTTTAGAAAAAAATATTTTTTGAGCCTCTGCGACCCCCACCCTTAAAAAACTGCATCCTCTTAAATCCCTAGTATTCAAAAAAAAAATTTTCCTAGACTTTGGTCTTGCAGTTTGTATGGGAAATTTCACAATCTCAGAATCGATAGGTACAAGGGATGTTTTGAAAGTTTTCAAAATTGGATGAGCCCTTAGTCAAAACATCATGAGTATCTATCAATGCCGATTTAATTGTACTCCTCTTGTCCAATCAGAATTTAGTGATTTTGTTGAGTGTATTATAAAGAGCAATACTAGAGGAAAAAAAATTTTTTTAGCATTCATTGGTCTCGTCAAAATAAATGGCCCAAACAAGCTTGACAAAATCTCTCATTATTATTTTTGAATTCCTCATCAGCCACCTCCAGGAGACTCCATCAGTGGTAAACAAATGGATAAATTTTATAATAAAGGAATGATGGGGACGTATTTAAGCTACAGGAATAGTGCTGGAGCAGGTGAGAATAAAATACTTAGGGAAATTTCAGGTTGTGTCATATTTCTGGGTCCACCTGCTCACAAAAAACTGTTTAAAAAAATAAAGTGAAAAATCTTCATCATATTATAAATGCATATAATATATATTCTTTTGACTAAAGCCAAGAACCCAAAAGTCTTGGTCTTTGTTGGTTGTATGATTACGAAAAATGGGTATGAAGCAAGCTAAAACAAAGGTGGGGTAGTGGTGATAGCACTTGCCTGTGACTAAGGCAACCTGGGTTCGATTACCGGCCTTGGCATAATATGTGAGTAGCGTTAATTGTTTGTTGAATCTGCTTCAAGGGTTTTTTCCTGGCTTCTCTGAGGTTTTTCCTCCCTCTTCAAAAATCAACTTCTAAATTCTGTGAGGATGGAAAAAGACACACTCTGTGGAACCGCTGTTAATTCCCAATTTTTATTATTTTTTAAATACAATTTAACATACTTGTGAAAATTGATAGCAATCAGAAGGGTTTTTGTGGGAACCTGGAAACTGATAAAATATAGAGTGAATCCGGGAAGTAGAAAAAACTTTGCATGATTCGAGATATTGGCATCGGCCATGACTCGGGAATTGCGTTAATTCAATGTCCCAGGATAAGGGATTTCACTTTCTGATTTTCAGGAAAAACGTGAAAACATTAATAAATAAAATAACAATTCAAACACCTTTGAATATGTTAAAATGTGGTCCTTGATGGCAAAATGTCTTGGGATTTTGGAAAAATTAGCCTGTGATTAACAAAAGTATGAATGGCTTGTAGGATATTCAAGGGCACAGGTTAGTGGGCACAGCTTGTTCTTAGAAGGGCTACCTCCTATTAATGGATGGCATGGCGCATTTGGATTCAGAAGAAACACGCCTTGGCTACGAAGACAACCTTCTGTTTTTATAGGTAAGTCATAATTCTGCTTCGGACAATTAATAGCGAACCAGTCACTGTTGTGGCAGTTTTCCCAGGGGAAACAAATTATACAGTGTCCATTTTCTCTTTCTATCACAGGAAAGTAAGCAATTGAAACAATTTAGAATCAATCTTACATGTGATCAGAGTTTTCAATTCTGAGATATGGTAGCTCATTTTTTAAGCTTGTGCAACATTATCAACTGTAACTAAAAAGGGAGTCAGAACCATGAAGTACACCGTTAACTGCATAGTGATACCTTGAACATAGGGGTAAGTGAACAATTTTCCCTATTATTCATAACTAATAATATGTCGTTTTTTCAGGAAAAGTTGACAGCCGTTCAGTTGTGCCATAATAAAAAAAAAGACAGGTAGATAGCAGAGGATCAAAGTAAAGGTACAATGTGTAGTAGTTCCAGAAAT